GTCTCGGTCTGTGGCAGAGGTGGGTCTGTGGGCAGGAAGGCCCTCCCTGCAGGCTTTTAGCCGGACACCACACTTTCACGTTGCTGCTGCTGCACTGGGCTCTGGGAGCTGGAACTCACCTTGCCTGCCCCCCTTATTGAGCTGCAGCATGAGAGGAATTGGAACTGGAGCAGGGAGACTCCGTGCTCTCGCCAGTGACACCTGGCTGCTGGGGGCAGGACTTCTTTTTGGGACCTTTTCTTCCTCCCAGTGCCCATAAGGGACCTGGGAGGGCCTGCCTGTCTGCTGTCGGTCTGGTACCTGGTTGGGTGTAGAGTGCCAGGGACTGGGGTTTTTGTTTGTTTATTTTGGTGTGTTTGTGTTTGTGTTGGGTCATTTAGCACTGGCCTTTTTTGTAGGAGGTGAGTTTAGGGGAGCAGCAATTCAGGTGGTGATGGGTAGGGGTGTTATGGTGGTGGGGGGAGGGTGTGCCCACCTAGGAGAAGTGGGGACAGATGCCTAATATCTGTCCGCTCTTCTAGCCGTCCCCCCAGCCTAAGGATGGCAGGCAAACATATCAGTCTGCCCTCAGGACTCCTGGTGCTGTTAATTACTGCCAGGTCGGTTTGTAATAAAAGTGCCATCATTCATGATTTGATTGTGGAAGAGAAGGCCAACATGGTGTATGTTACCAAAACCTGGGTGTGAAAGGAGGGTGGGGTCCCTCTTTCGCAGTTATGCCCCCCGGGGTATTCAGTGCAGCACCAGTATCACCCAGAGACCTGGGGAGGGGGGTTGCCAATAATTTTAAAAGATTTAATCTCTCTTGCCAGGCTTCTTGTCCCCTCAGGTGAAGTTCTAGAGTGTTTGTACTGTGTGTTGGCTCTCAAGACAGATTGGGGATTCTGTTAATGTATCATCCACCCTTCTGTGCTTTATCAGTCTGATGGAGTTGGTCTCATGACAATTCTGATCAAACACATTTACAAGCTTATTATCAAGCCTATTCTGTGTCAATAAAGTGGGCAAAGAGTGACTTCTTTGCCGCCTCTATTGCTTCCTCACAGTGCTGTCCAGCTGAGTTATTTTGGGTGGTCCAGTGTCTCCTACAAGCTGGTTCGCCACATGAGACCCCGATGACCTTGATGCTTTGCTATGACGAATTTGCTCAGCACTTTGAGGGAAAAATCATTTGGATCTGTCAGGAGCTTGACTCTACTGTTTGTATACATCAGTGCCCAACTTGGTTGGTTGGAAGGTCTGTGGATAAGGTTTGGCCCTGGGTCAGGAGGCTTTCAACGCCTCATTGAGATAGGGAGTGGTCCTTGCCCCACTGAAAGAGGCAATGGCTAGGCGACTCCTAAAAAGACCAGGCCTGAATCCAGGGATACTGGATAACTACTGTCCCATCGCCAACCTTCCACTTTTGGGCAAAGTGTTGGAGTGGGTGGTAGCTTGGCAGCTTCAGGCACTCTTGGAGGACACAGATTATCTGGATCCATTTCAGTCAGGTTCTTTGGTATGGGATGGAGGCAGCCTTGGTTGCCCTGTACAATGACCTGTGCAGGGAGAGGGACAGGAGGAGTGTGACCCTCTTGGTTCTCCTTGACCTCTCAGTGGCTTTCGACACCATCAGCCCCGGTGTCCTTCTGGACAGGCTGGACAGGTTAGGAGTGGGAGGCACTGCTTTGTGGTGGTTCTGCTCCTACCTGGCTGACTGGGTCCAGAAGGTGGTGCTGGCGGACAGTTGCTCTACCCCATGGCAGTTGTATAATGGGTTTCCACAGGACTCTGTGCTATCCCCCATGCTGCGGGAGAGTCCCTTCTCCGGGAACCCTCCATGAAAGAAATTAGG